ACTTTCAGCAGAGAGCTTACTGTTTTCTGTTTTTGGATTTAGTCCCATCATTAAACTTTACCTCTTGTGTTCTACATAATTTGGAGATGATGTACCCGAGTCTTCATTTGAACACTTGGCCATGGGTAAGGAGTTTTTCTCCACTCACATCACAACTCAAATTCAATCAATTATCCAAATAGTCTTCAATAATAATCACTTTTGCCTCTTCAGAGACTTGGTGTTTAAGAAAAACATGAAACTCAATTAAAATCCCTGAGTAAGTGACAACATCAAATAACAGTAGATATAAAATACTTCAGCAGATACCCAAGATTAATACAAGAATATCACAAGCATGAAGAGGCTAATCAAAGAGTAACAGAGGAATTTTGTGAGTGAGATGAGAAATGGCAAAGATTAATAGAGGCATTCTTGGAATCCACAAACAGAGAGCTGAAGGAATCCAGGGGGAGGCCACAAATGGAATGCAGAATGAAGACCAACAGAAGGAAAGGAAGTCCAATGAAATTATAACCAATCAACTAACAAATCTGAGAATGAATACTGAAAACCAAATTAAGGAAGTAAAGCAGTCCATACAAGATCTAAAACAAAGCTCCAACAAAGAATTTGAGGCCATCAAGTCTGACCAATTAAAAAGTAAGAAAATAAAAAACAACATAGAAAGTCTTGATAGGTTAGACCATGTAGAAGATTGAATCTCTGGGATTGAACACAGCCTAGATATTATATAGAAAGAACAGACAACTATTCAAGACAAATCCAAGAATTCAGACAAATCCAAGAAATATGATAGATCTATTCAACATGTAGAAGACACCATCAGACACCGAATTTGAGACTAATGGGTGTAGAGGAGCACCTAGAGACAGAAGTTAATGGTCTAGGAATTTTATTTAATAGGATCCTAGCAGAGAACTTCCCAAACATGCAAAAAGATAGGCCTATGCAGATGTAAGAATCCTTTAGAACCCCAAATTGACCAGACCATGACAGGACATCCCGCTGTCACATTTTAATCTGTACTTGATCAATTCTGACCAAGGAAATGATCCTTAAAGCTGTCAAGGAGAAAATATTAATCACCTATAAAAAAAACCAGGGGCTGGGAAGATGGCTCAGTGGTAGAGTGCTTGCCTTGCAAGCATGAGGCCCTGGGTTCAATTCCTCAGCACCATATAAGCAAAAAGAAAAAAGCCAGAAGTGGTGCTGAGGTTCAAGTGGTAGAGTGATAGCCTTGAGCTGAAGAGCTGAGGGACAGTGCCCAGGCCCAGAGTTCAGGCCCCATGACCAGACTCAAAAAAGAAAAAAGAAAAAATTAAAAAAAGAGAAACCAATCAGACTAACTTCAGAATTCTCAGCAGAGACAATTAAAGCAATAACAGCCTAGAGTGATGTATGCCATACTAAAGACAAACAACTACCAACCAAAAATACTGTACCCAGCTAAACTGTCCTTCATAATAGAAGGTCAAATAAAAACCTTCTTCAGAAAAGAATGATCTCCACCAAACCAGCCCTACAACAGATACTTAAAGATGTCCTACACATAGACAACCAACAAGAGCACAATAAAGTTCAAGAAAACAAACAAACAGCTCCCAGATAATCTAAGAATCATAGGAAGAACCAGGTTGGCACAGCTCCATGAAGGTGGATAACATGGCAGGGACTACCAAACACCTCTCAGTTTTAACTCTCAATATTAATGGACTTAACTCTCCAATTAACAACATAGACTGTCTAGTTGGATCAAAAAGCAAGATCCTTCTATCTGCTGCCTTCAAGAGGCACACCTTGCCCTCAAAAACAAACCCATTTTGAAAGTGAAAGGTGGGAATAAAATCGACTGAGCAAACACCTCTATGAACAGGCGGGAGTTGCAATCCTAATATCAGATAAAATAGACCTCAAATTAAAATTTGCAAGAAGTAAAGAAGATCATTGGATACTAATCAAGGGATCTCTCCCTCAGGAGGATATTACAATTCTAAATACGTATTCAGCAAATACAGATTTGCTGAAATTTATCCACGACACACTGCTTTTCCTAAAATCACACATAGATCCAAAGACAGTAATTATTAGGTACTTTAACACATCACTATTCCTGCTGCATAGATCAACCCAGCAAAAACCCAACAGACAACCCTCAGGCTTAAACAACTGCATAGATAAACTGGACCTCACAGACATCTACCAAATACATGTTCTTCTCAGCAGCACATGGAACATTCTCCAAAATTAACCACATTTTAGGTCACAAAGCAAATCTGCCCAAATTCAGAAACATTGAAATTATGCCCTGTATACTCTCAGAACACAACAGAATAAAATTAGAATTCAACACCAAAAGCCACCAAAGAAAATCCTGTAACACGTGGAGGCTGAACAACACACTGTTGATCCACCAGTGGGTCATAGAAGAGACTAGAAAGGAAATTCAAATGTTCATGATATTCAACAAAAGTGTACACACGAATTACCAGCTCCTCTGGGACACAGCAAAGGCAGTACTCAGAGGCAAGTTTATAGCTCTGAGTTCCTACATCAACAAATTGGAGATATCTGAAACCAACAATTTAATGAGACATCTGAACCTCCTTGAAAAAGGGCAACAAGCTAAACCCCAATCCAGTGGACAGAAAAACATAATTAAAATTAAATCAGAATTAAATGAATTTAATGCTTGATAAGAAATGTACTCATTATCTTGCCCATGTTATTGTAACCCCTCTGTACAGTATTTTCACAATATAAACAAGAAGAAAAAATAAATTTAAAATAAATAAAATTTAAAAATCCATAGAAAGAATCAACAAAACAAAGAGTTGGTTGTTAAAAAATTAACAAAATTAATAGACCCTTAGCAAATATTATTAGAAAAGGAAGAGAGCAGACCCAATAAACTAACTCAGAGATGAGACTGGTAACATCACCACAGAAAAAAACCAAGATTGAGAACATTATAAGGGAATACATCTCAAACCTTTATGCTAATAAGCTTGAGAATCTAGAACAAAGGGACAAATTTCTAGCAAATATTGACATGTCAAAACTAAATCAAGATTAGTTAAACCAACTTAACAGACCTATATCAAACATCAAAATAGAACCAGTAATAAGAGACCTCCAACCCAAGAAAAGCCCAGGACCAGATCAATTTACAGCTGAATTCTACAAGGTCTTCAAAGCAGAACACACACCCATACTCCTCCAACTCTTCAATGAAATTGAAAGTTAATGTTCACTACCAAACTCCTTCTATGAAGCCATCATAACCCTCATCCCCAAAACCAGGCAGGGACTCATCAAAGAAAGAGAACTATAGACCCATTTCTTTGATGAACATCGATGTAAAACTTCTTAACAAAATTGTGGCCACTCATCAAAAAAAAATCATACATCATGATCAAACAGAATTCATTTCAGGATGCAAAGCTGGTTCAATATATGCAAATCTATTAATACAATTAAGCACATCAACAAGAGCAAGGATAAAACCCAAATGTTTAGCTCAATAGTCGCAGAAAAATGCATTTGATAACATCCAACACTCCTTTATGATGAAAGTTCTGACAAAGTAGGAATCCATGGAACATTCCTCAATATAACAAAGGCTATGTATGACAGCATTATACTTAATAGCAAAAAGCTAAAGCCATTTTCTCTAAATTCAGGAAGAAGACAAGGATGTCTACTCTCTCCACTTCTCTTCAATGTAGTAATAGAATGCCTAACAAGAGCATTAAGATAATATGCAAACATACAAGGGATCCAAATAGGAAAAGAAGAAGTAAAACTCTCCCTCTTTCCAGATGACAGGATCTTGTATTTAAAGAACCCCATGGACTCCACTCCCAAGTTACTCAAACTGATTTGAAACTTTGGTAAAGTAGCAGGACACAAAATTAACCCTCAAAAATCAATGGCTTTCCCATATGCCAATAATGCGAAGAGTGCATCTGAAATCAGGAAAGCAACTCCTTGTGTAATAGCCCCACAAAAATAAAATACTTGAAGTTAACTAAAGAAGTGAAGGACCTCTGTGATGAAAACTTTGAAAACCTGAAAAAAGGAAATTAAAGCAGAACTAAAGAAGTGGAAAAACCTCCAATGCTCGTGGATTGGGAAGATTAACATCATGAAAATGGCAATACTTCCAAAGACTATCTACAAATTCAATGCAATACCTATCAATATCCTAACCTCATTCTTCAAGGAAATAGAAGAAGCAGTCCAAACATTTATATGGAATAGCAAAAACAATCCTTAGCCGAAAGAACAGAGCTGGAAGAATATCAATACCAAACTTCAAACTCTACTACAAAGCCATAATCAAAACAGCTAGGTACTGGCACAAGAACAGACCTCAGGACCAATGGAATAGAATTAAAGACCCAAAAATGAACCCACAGACATATAGCCACCTAATCTTTGATAAGGGAGCTAAAAAAATAGCATGGAAGAAAGACAGCCTCTTCAGTAAATGGTACTGGCAAAATTGGTTAAACACCTGTCGAAAACTAAAGCTCTATGCCAATATATCACCCTGCACCAGAATCAACTATAAATAGATCAAAGATCTCGAAGTCAGAGCAGACACCCATAAAACATTACAGGAAGGAATAGGAGATGGAACTGTTCAAAAGAATATAGTAAGGACTGGGAAGGTGGATCAGAGATAGAGTGCTTGCCTTGCATGCAGGAGGCTCTGGGTTTGATTCTCAGCACCACATAAACAGAAGAAGCCAGACGTGGTGCTCAGTGGTAGAGAAATTGAGGTTACCTTGGCTTTGTGTTTGATTTCCCAGTGTTGCCAAAAAATTCAAAATAAAAACAAAACAAAACCAGAACTCCACTACTTTCACTGACTAGAAATGACAATTAAACTCATTAGAATTGATTTGCAGAGGAGAAACTGATAAAGATAATAACAAAAGATGTAATGACAGCCAGAAAAAGAATTTCTGAGTCCTTATTGTAGAATTGAAGATTTAACTACATAAGAAGACAAAGATGTCTATTCCTATTGCCTTCAATTCTGCATCTCTCCGTTTTTCTCTATAGTTTTCCATCAATGCATTCATCCACTGCTCGAGCATAACATCCTCAAAAACCTAATGAATGTCCACAGCCAACATAATGTACCCCATTCTCTGACATAGACATACCACCCAGCTCATCTCTTCTAGCTGCCTCTGTTGCCTTTCTTTCAAATACTCACTCACCTCCCACGTGGCACAGAAATCCACTGTGTCCAATATTGGCTTCCCATGTTCATCGGTTGGAAAAAGGTCATCCCCTTGCTAGGAAAGAACCAGGCAACAATGTTGGATAAGAAATTTTCTCATTACCTTGATCATGTAACTGTAACCCTCTGTACAGTATTTTCAAAATAAAAAACTTATTTTTAAAAAAGAAGAAAATACATCAGCCTCATTAATCACACATTTGTTACCCAAGCAATACTTCTCCATGTATGAGACGGAATGAGTCACAAAACATACAAGAAAGCAAGTAGAACCTCACTCACTCCCCATACTGAGCTCTACCAGTGGCTTGTGTACTAAGTTCTTAGAAATATTTTTGGGTGAATGAGTTACTATCCAGATAATATCAATTCTCTGATATTTATGAGTGTTAAAAACTGATCTTCTAAATGTGAAGAAAATGTAGAAAATAAGTAGGGGAGAAGGGAAGTCATAATTTTGGCATAGTCTATATCACCTGTGAGCCCATTCTAAATAATGGTGCTTTGAGTTAAGGACATAGACATAAAAGCATTTTAATGTTATAAATATGTATACAGTCACTAAATAGTCATTATCTTTGTAAACTGCTTTGTGTGTGTGTCTGTGTGTGGGCGTATGTGTGTGTATGTGTGAGTGTATCAGTCTTGGGTTTGAGTGTAGGACCTGAGCACTGTCTCTGAGCTCCTTTACTCAAGCTTCTTTGCACAGCTCCACTTCTGGTTCTTTGGTGGTTAATTGAGACAAGAGTCGCCCCATCTTTCCTGCCCAAGCTGGCTTTGAACCATGATCCTCAGATCTCAGCCTCCTGAGTGGCTAGGATTACAGGTGACTTACATAATATATTCTCTATGCGAAATAAGTAAGAATAAAAGGCGCACCAATAAGCACTTTTTGCCAACTGATATCTCACTTTCATACATAATTTTCTCTTGTTTACATCACATCATTCGTTTGCACACTTATACTCTGTAGACACAATACCTGTGAGGTGCAGAATATATTTTGTCTCTTCACAGTGCCCTCTTCAATCTTGTTTCGAATGGCCTGCCCTACCTCTTCTTCCACTTGGTATATGTAAGCAGTGTCAATATGGCAGAAGCCAGCATCTATAGCTAACATGGTAGCCTCCAAGACTTTACTCTTTGGAACCTAGGGAAGCAACCACAAGTAGTATTTGGAGAAAGAAGTTGTCACTAGATGTCAGAATAAGCCAAAAGGATAGGTGACAAGACCAAAGATTTGTACTACAAATCATTGTCAGATGGCATATTTGACAAAGGCCTCTTTCCCTGATCGTTGAATTCCCATTTTCTGTGATACTAAATGACACCCCAAATGTTGCTTTGGAGGCTACAGATCCAATTACTTACATTCAAAAGAACTGACACTTATTTACATCTTTTTTTTTTTTGGCAGTCATGGAGCCTGAATTCTGGGCCTGGGTGCTGTCCCTCAGCTCTTCAGCTCAAGGCTAGTGCTCTACTACTTGAGCCACAACACCACTTCTGGCTTTTTCTGCTTATGTGATGCTAAGGAATGGATCCCAGAGCCTCATGCATGCAAGGCAAACACTCTACCACTGAACCATCTTCCCCTATTTACATTTTTATTTACTTTTGAACATGGACCACAAAATCAAACTCACATTTTCTGGGTCTTTTGCGTAAACAAGAATTTTACATTCTAAGTCTCTTACAAACCCATGAAATCTTCATTAATTATTAATGTAGTACACCCCAGAAACAACTCCTGTTCTTATATTATCTGGAACCTCATGCAGAATTCAGCATATTGAAATAATCTCATTATTTCAGTAATTCTATTATTATTAATATAAAGAGGTCACTAAGTAAAGGTCAAAGGGTAAGAATGTAAGAAAAATATAGAAGAAATCTGGTGCAAGATTCTGTGATTCTTCTTCAGCGAAACAGGCTGAATTCCAAAAAATTCTCCCTTCACAAAAATGGGAACTCTGTCTGTAATGAAATCTGTTAGAGAACTTTCCAAGATTTTCATATTATATGGAGTCCTCTGATAGGACCTGATAAATCCATCTCTCAAAAGAAGACAATGCAAAACTCTACTCCTCTTTTGTATATAAGCCATTTAGGAACACTCATCATCTTTATCTTTAAATAGCTGCTAAGAAATCAAAGTCCCTAGATGCCAACCAGAGCTAGACTGTCATTCAAACTTGGCTAGAGAGCAATGTGTGATCAAACACATTTTTATGTATCCATGCCTCCTTTTTTTTAACAGATTAAATGCTGATGGAAAAATGTATTCTCAAATAATCTAGATATACAAGTAGGTGTGAGTATAGCTGGAAGATCTGAGAACCAAGTGAATCCCCAGCACTTATACAAGAAGTAGCTAAGTCTTGATAGCCCAGTTCAACTCCCAATCATTCTGGAATACTTTTCAACATTTCCCCATAGGATAACTTACTTCTTCAGGCGTGTAGGTTCCAAGGCCCAATGAGGGGATGAATGACCATCATTTAGTTTCACACAATGCTCTTTACAACTCATGGCTGGTCAGTTGTCTGACTAAGTTCATGTTGTTCCTTCTGCTTCCTGCACAGGACACTGAATAACTTACATCCTAGCTCCTGCCTAATGGTTAGTTAGTGTCACTTCCTGTGTAATGAGTAACCATAGGTACTCCTGGTCTAGAAATGAACTAATATAAAGGGAGAAATGTTTCACATATAAGAAGAGAGTTGGAATCACTATATTTTATGCAAGTTAATTTTTGTTATTTTATTGGCATATATTGAATTGTACATAGTAAAGGATTTCATCATGTCATTTCCATTCATACATAAACTTCAATAAAATTTCAATAAAATTAATTACATATATTACTACCGCCATCTAGACTTACTTATAATGTATGTATTTTTCCCTTCTTCAGTCACGTGGGCCACTCTTAATGAGCCCTTAGGCCTATAAAGCCCTATCAGGCCACATCCCTTCCTTTACCTCCAAGTTGACTACTGGACAGAGCCACCATTTCTCACATATATGGATTGCATCCTTTGCTTTGCTAAAAGGAACTTTTGGATTTCTTCTAATTTTTGCTCAATCGAGGTAGAACTAAAATGCATATTTTTCCATACATTCCTTTAATTTCTACTTTATCACCTTAGAAGAGATGGCTGAGGGGAAACCTGATTGCCCAGGGTCACATGTCCAAATACAAAGGTGGCCACATCCTATGCAAGGTGCAGTGGGTGGAGAAACATTGACCAAGATGCACTGTGCCTATGAACTGATTTCTGTAGGCCACAGCCTTACTGAACATTATGCATAAGTGAACAGAAATGAAAATATCTTAAATTTATTAAATTTTGGAATAGGTGGCTAAAATTTGATGTAATAGAATAATTATTGGGATTCAGATTGGAACTGGTAAATTATTAATGGATTATTATAAAAACCAAGTGATTTAAAATAATACTTAAAAATAATGACTATATTAGTCAATGATGTAATGTCATCACACAATATGTTTTATAAATACACATGTATGAAAGCTTAAAATTTATTCTTTCTGAAAGATAAAAGTGCATGATTATTAAATCTTCTATATGATTTTCAATCTTCTCAAAACAATGGTGATCAGCTTGGAATCTGAGAGAAAATGACTACCATGGTCTCTTGATCCCAGTCTATGCAATTATGGCCAAATCAATTTGGGTTATTTATAAAAAGTGAGAGAGAAAGTTGGGAACCAGTGGGTCATGCCTGTAATTCTAGCTACTCAGGAAGCTGAGATCTGAGGATCACGGTTCAAACCCAGCCCAGGCAGGAAAGTCCATGAGACTCTTATATCCAATAAACCACCAGAAAACTGGAAGTGGTGATGTGGTAGAGCACTGGCCTTGAGCTGAAGAGCTGAGGGACAGTGCCCAAGTTCAAGCCCCATGACTGACAAAAGAAAAAAAAGCGAGAGAGAACAAAAACATGCAAGTGACAAAGACAGGGTTAGGAAGAATCTTTAGGGAAACAACCTTGTGTTTATTTCAGAAAGTGATGACAATGTACAACCTTCTTTTCCAGACCAGGGCTCAGCTTTAGCTGAGTGAAACCACTGAGCAGCACCAATGGAGTAGAACACATATATCCAAAGATATTTCCATAGGGCAGAGCCACAAGGTATCCCAGGGCTCTCTACACACAGGAGCTTCAGGCAGAAGGCGTCACACAGGCCTCCATTTCAGTATTCATCAGAAAATGGATAATTAGGGTGACCAAGAAGGGTAAAGAGAGAAAGAATGCATACCATATGCGCTAGGATCCATATTTAGAGAAGAAATGGTATCTATGTGACTATTATTACATTGAGAATCATTACATGTCCTAATCAGAGAAAGAATTTGCTGTTTTAACTTTTATGAACAGGACTTTATAAAGCATGCTTGTACAGTATAAGAACTAAATTTTTCCTGTTACTCTCTCTTGCTCGGGAAGAACATAATACAATGCAGAGCCTACCCACCTTGATACATATTCTTTTTCTTTGTTGTTTCAATCTTCCAAAGCAAAGAAAGGAATAGTAGTCCTTTCCACTTCAAGTCTCAAAAAGGATGGAAGCTGCTTTTTATCATGTTTAGTGCAGAAGTAAGTCCATCTTTTACCATTCCTGCCATTACCACTCCCACCAAATGTTCTCACAAAGGGCAGCCAGAGGCTTCAGTGCTTAAAGCCTTGCCAATCTCCTTTTTAAAGAGATATTGCAGTGTGAAAGCCTTCTATCCTGCCCTTTGCATTCTAATTAATTGATGATTATGACTTCTTAATGCTCTGACAAATTCTGCACACTTGATCTTTGAGTCAAGATGCCCACTTCCTGATTCCTGTAAGAGTATATGCTTTCTTTTTCTTAAAAAACTCTGGTATATGTAATTCTTCCCCCTAAACAAGTGTGCTCCACCTTCCTCCCCCCTTTCTTTTATTGACAAGATAATTAAATGCTAGTGCTCTCACACCCTGTGAAAATAGGACATTGAAATTCTATTCATCCCAGATGCAATATTTACTATCAGATGTTAAAGGCTACCCAAACCCTAAGAAAAATTCCTTTCCATCTTTTATTCTGTTTCCTACCCCCATCAACTTTTCTGATTTCTCTGTATCTTGCCATCTAGAACTCTTCATGAACTATAGAAATAAACTGAGAAATGACTTCCAATGCAATCAACATCCAAGCAAGTGACCTGGCAGGCAGTATTCTTGTATTTGAGAGACAGTGATCTTCTGGGAACCAGATAAAAAATACAGGAAAATATGACATGCAATGTAATTGGTCTGTGAATAACTAGTCCAACTCTGATGGAGTTTACATGGCTTAGCTCTATCCTGGAAATAAAAAGACAAACCTGAGAACCACATAAGTCCAAATACTCAGACAAAAAATGGATGTGTTGACAGCACAGATCCACTTCCTCTCATCCTAGGTTATTTTCCTTTGAAACATGCATCAAATTATGACTTACCTCTTCAGGTGTGTAGGTGCCAAAGCCCAGAGCAGGGATCAAGGGACCATCATTTAGTGTCACATAGGAGTGTTTAGAATTCATTGTTGGTCTGTCTTCTGGCTAAGCACAATCTGTTTCTTCTCTTGCAGGGCAGTCAGCAATGCATAACCCCTGCTTGTCAAATAAATAATCAAAAGTGATCCATTGTTGGAAGAGGCAGTGAGGTGAAAGTAATATTCTCAATATTCAGGTATGGTAGTTCATGCTTGTAATCCCAATATTTGGAAAGTTGAGGCAGATACATTGTGTATTTAAAACCAACCTGCTCTACTTAGGGAATCCTATTCAAAAATAATCAATAGACAAAGAACAAGCACATGTGAAATGGAACTGGAATCAATTCCGCTATGGTGTTATATAATTAAAATTAATCTTGATGAATTTTTTGCCACCGTAATGCTAAATTTTGATGGCTTTTTTGAATGTTAAGCATATTCATGTTTTTTGAGTTTACTTGAACATGTAGTTCTACATCTTTCAATTCAATGGCAATGGGAGTATTAAATTTACCTTCTAAATGACCTCAAATAATACTGTGTATTTAACCATGGGCATAAAGGAGTAGTCACTTAAAATACTTTGCCATTAAATAGCTATTCAAATGAAGGCTTATGTGGTTACTAAGTCATCAGAAGCCCACTTTAATGATCAGAAAACACAGCAATGTTCTTGACAAACATAAAAATCTTTGCAATGACAAGTTTTAGAAGAAAAAGACACAACAGCATCTACATTAACATGATACTGGAAGTAGATAGACCTGTGGCTCGAAGTGGCAGAGCACTAAGCCTTGAGTGAAAAAGCTCAGGAAGACTGCCCAGGTCCTGGGTTCAAACTTCAGTTGAGTGATATTCTATAACTGTCTGTTGAGACAAATTAGTTGATACTGTTACTCAAGACTTTTATAATCTTGCTTATACTCCAATGAGCTGTTGAATCCATTGTTTAATTCTGGGTATTAAAATTTCCATATTTTATTATTGAATTGTTTATTTCTCTCTTTAATACTGTCAGTTTCAGGCTCATATATTTAAGAGTTCTGCTATTATGTGCATATCTGTTTCTAGTTGTTCTTTGTTCTTGGTGAATTAGTTACCCAGGCTGGCCTCAAACTCATAATCATCTAGCATCAAGATGCACAGAAATACATGCAAAATTTTTGAAGATGAAGCTATTTTCTTAAAATGAAAATTTTCACTATATTTGTATATATCCACACAACTTACTCTACATCAGTTTTAAACTTGATACAAGTTTATTCAAGTGCATAAAAACTTGTCTGACAAAAGTTATTGTAATAGAAAACGTGAGGGTAATATGTTTTATAGGATCTCTGAACTTAAAAAGAAATAAAAAGTGTATTTTTTAAAGTTAGTATTTGCAAAATATTACACAAAATTATCAGTGGCATAGAATACAGACTTCAGAATTACCTTTTATTTATATGAGAATTTAAGAGGTGGCACAACTTAGACTATTAATGAAACATAATCAGAACAAATAATGGCTATTCACCTCAAGGAAAACAAGATTGAAAATCCCCTTGTATACTGTATATAAAAGGAAGTCCAGTATATAAATTATATAGAATATTATAAAGAAGAAATAAGGCATAGAAAAAAATCTGAATACATCCTAAAGCCCAGCCTTGGGTATGAAACAGCCTTGTCAACTCACCAAAATATCAATTTCTATGAAAGAAGAGCTAGAAATATTTGAATGTATAAAAAGGAAAACTATTATTTGTCAAAATTTTCTATTAACATAATTAAAAAGCAAAACAGTAGATTTGGAAAGCCTTTATGAACCAGATGAGGGGGCTTAATGTTTATATTCTAAAACAGATATTAAATATTTATCTGCAAATAACAAATTTTCAATTAAATATTGTCTAAGATGCAGAACAGTCTCTCACGGAAGAACAGAGCTGAATTACCACAAGCATAGTAAAGACTGACTAGGTTGACTAACAGTCCAGGGAAAGCTCCTGGGAGGTGCAAGGTATGCCAATAAATCAGGCATCAGATATGAGAGAGAGAAAAATGGGGGGGGGAGAGCCCTCAAGCCCAGCATTTTAGAGAGGAGAGGACAGAGGAAGGTTCAAACCCAGCATATTTACTGCAGTTCAGGATGTTATCCAAACAGGTTTTAATTGGGTTGAAATCAATAAAGCAAAGTTCCAAGAGATGACGCAGTAAGCAAGAATTGAAGGAATCACTACAATCCCTTCACAGTGGGTCTTCCTTGTGTGGGAATATGTGGGCCTGGGCAAGCAGACTGCCTCCAGCTGTCCTATAAAGACGCAGTTTCCAGGGATCATCAGTTGCTTATGACAAATATTTGGCTGATCACCACAAGCAACTGGGAAGGACTATTGATCTGGCATCGGTTTCTAGGTGGCTGAGTCCTGCTTCTAGTATTAGGAAGGAAAATGTGTATTTAAATAGGTATCAAGACAACAACATAAGATTATAGAACTCACTCCATATAAATGGAACAAAAGTGAAGTAAGCATAGTTGTAAATAGTAGAGAAAAGTACACATCTCTGAGGACTTCAATGCTAAAACCCAATACTTCCTAAAATTTGAAAACCTGGGCATATCATATTCTTTCAGGAACTGGCCTAAATCTGATATGGAAATTCAGGATTTACCTAGACAATGAATCTTCAAGATATCATGGACAATCCTATTACAGACACAAGAAAGCAGTCATTTTTTAATTTTTATTTTGTTGGTCATGGGGCTTGAACTCTGGGCCTGGACACTGCCTCTCATCTCTTCAGCTCAAGGCTAGCGCTCTACCACTTGAACCACAGCACCACTTCCAGCAGTCATTTTTTAGAACTAAGATATAGACATCTTCAAGTAAATGAGTACCCACAAAAAACTGGTGAGACAATTTTTGTTGGTGAAATTTCGCCCTTAACTTCTAGAAGTGTAAATTTCACTGAAGAACATTCCCACCTTTTTTCTTCCTCCCCTTCTAGTACATAACTATGGCAATGGGTTGTAATATGTTGGGATGGAGCATTGCTGGATTCCTCAGGGAAGTAAGACAGAGAAAACAAATGTAAGACTGAACTATCTTATATTACTTCTTCAAGTGGATGGAACAATAGTCCCAAGACTTTTCTCAACAGCACTTCTGTACATGAAAACGACACTCTCCTGGGTTTGTTCGGGTTTTACTGATAAGATTGAAACACAGTAAATATTTATATGTTCTCATATTCTACCTAAGGCCTATCTTGTCCCCTAAAAATGTTGGAACTGTCACTATATCTGCTCCTGGTAAACATGTCCTGTGCAGAGAGGCTTGACATAAACCAGGAAGGGCAGCCTGCAAAATGAGGCTGAAGGGTACACCTGTGTGGAATGCTCACACTTGCACATGTCCTGAGTTTACACTGTTGACAGGTACAGAGCTTTCTCATCTCATGTTCTCACAGCTCACTGAAGAACCAGGGACTTTTTGGTCTCTGCTCTCTGCTAGTCAGCCTTTCCCCTTTCCTCCTCCTTTATTCTCCCTCAAAGGAATCATCTGTTGTTGCCAGTGCTGTAATCACATTGCCCTGGGTCTGATGGCAAAAGCAGAAGTAAATCCAGAGAAGTTAAAGGTTTCTTTGTGGGGTAGAGGTGTAAAGGAATTACCATAGTTTTCACTAGCAAATGAGTTTTCAACCTTGATCATGTTGTATTCATATAAACAGGAAACAGTTAAAGGTATTCATATGGGGGAGGGTAAAATATGAAGAAACCAGTTCTTTCCCTCCTTTCTCCCTAGCCCCCCACGCCAGCCTCCATTTTACCTTTTTTTTTGTTTTAAATAAGTTTATCTGACTTAAGGAAGGGAAGTGGCATCATAGAAATGGGGGGACCAAGAATGAGCCCATACAGCAGTGGTGCTCAGGGATCACTATGTTGGAAAGGAACTTTACAACTTGGAGGAAGGGGAGGGAAGGAAATGGGGGTACCACAGCCGAAGAAGAGCTGGACTCCTTACCTCACTTAAGTAATTTTGACCCTCCTGGAGAGGGTTTGAGATGGAGGCCAATGAACAGGGAGCCACTCCAGCTCTAAGGCTGCCAAGATCTGGGCACAGCCTTCAGCAGGGGGACAGCAGCAAGCATGGAGATGCCTGACAGACCTGGGAGCCCTGGTAGGCAGCCCTGGCAGCTGATGGAGGAGGGCGGTGCCTGAGGAGACCTGGGGATGGGTAGGGGGAGCAGCCAATGTTCTCCACCGGTATACTAACTCTATACAGGGAAACTGTTCTTCTTTTTTTAAATTTTTTTGGGGTCCATTCATGGGGCCTGAAATCTGGGCCTAGGAACTATCCCTCAGCTCTTCAGCTCAAGGCTAGCGCTCTACCACTTGAGCCACAGTGCCACTTCCGGCTTTTTTCTTTTTGCTTATGTGGTGCTGGGGAATCGAACCCAGGGCCTCAGGCATGCAAGGCAAGCGCTCTACCACTGAGCCACCTTCCCAGCCCACAGGGAAACTCTTTAAAGAAATAAAACCACCTCTGTGTTAGCTAGTGTGCTCAGTGATTGTTGCCATAATTTAGCAATAAGCCATTACTTATTTTATAGCTAAAGGCTTGTTGAGTTCGTCTCATTGGGAGACTGGAAGCCAAAGATTGGCCATCCACCCCCTTCAGATTTCCTTTATTGTTCCAGTATTGCAAGTATTTTATTAACTGTGTTTGCATCTATGTTCATTAAAGATATTAAACTCTATTTTTCTTTTCTCCAACGGTCTAGGATGAAGTTGAACTAACCTCAGAGACAGAGAGACCAATTTCCTTGATGCTGCAATATATAATAGTTCCTTAAGGAGGAGATTCTCTTGACATTTCAGTACAACTCAGTAGTGTCACTGCTGTGATGTTACTATTTCCAAATGGAGATGTGGTTCAGTCATCCAAGAGCTCATCATTGTGCTCAAGATATTGAGTCTTGGTCCTCTGGTCCACTCAGGAGACCAAGTTTCTCTGTGGAAGCCATAACATATGATTTATACCCATTGAGAGATTGCAG